GGCGCTCCTGACCCCAAGCTCAGCCCCGGTTATATTATGAGTTAGTGCTTAAAAGGAGATGATGCTGATTGGCTACACTTCTAGCACGGAGGTACCACTCACACTTGAAGGCATTGTCCACCCAGAATTTGGCGTCCCATGTTTTCGTCATTTTGGGGCCTTTCCGTGGCCCTGGTTACAGTTCCGGACTTCAAACTCTCCAAAACTCACAAGAACCCTATTCTTGGGGACTCTGTCTGAGGGCGCGGACGAGTTTCGAATCGCTCGTCCCCATTGGCAGGCCAGCGGGGAGGAGCTGCAGCTGCATGGGTGACGTTGCAGCAGTGTGCAGCTTCTGCTCACTACCATGTTAGTACGTGCCGGGAGGCATCCTTGGCTGGGCGGAGTCTGATATCAGACTCCGCCCACCCAGGGACTTCCAGGCCCCTTATCTCCATTCAGAGACAACGTTAGAAGACCGGACCAAAGCAGATGCCCCTTTTTTAGGGCCTACATTCAGGATCGAAACTAATCGGAGAGGGTTAGGTCTAGCCTGGACACTTTAACACGTTTCGGAGCAGTGCTGCACTTGGTGCAGCACGTTACTTTGAAGGATCTTTCTGATGTTTACGAGTGGTTTTCTTTTAGCCTGAGGTTATCAAGTCAAAGGCCTAAGCTTCTACTTCTCAAATGGCCGCCGAGGTTTGTTTAGGAGATATGAGCACAAATCGAACAACAGTTGCAACGAAGCGCAGCAACGCGAACGACGCGTGCGACGTCGCAACTTTTTTTTTGCTTCGATATCAAGGAGAAAAACCGTAGTTTCAGTGCTGATGTGTAATCGTTACACATAGATACTTTGGTTACTATTAGAAACTGAGTTTTTGTTCCTATCTTTCAAAAAAGCACAGAAGTCCTTTTCAAGCGACCAAATTTTAACACTGCGAATTCACTCCGAACTTTGAGTATGGAACTTATCTGACAAGCTGTACAGATGTAGCCACAGTCCACAAAATAAGGTCCCTTTGTTGGCTAATGGCTGAAGGTGCACTCTTTTCCGCCGCGCGCGATTTCGCGGCCCAAAACGCATTAAGTGATTGAATACTCAAAACTGAGTGATTTACACTTCAGCCTACGGAGCTTCCGCAGGCGCTAGATTATGGAGTCCGTTGGGTGATTATACAGAAACTATCAACAGGCAGGTTAAATATGGAGAAAAGAGTAGAGTACCATTCAATAGATCGCTCTCTACAAGGAGGAGTTCTCAAATTAGTATCAAGCACGATACATTTGAAATTTGAAGGCATAATTTGGAAGGTTTTAAATGCCGGGAAAATAGAAAAGAATCTTTGAGTTTGGAAACAATTCTACACACCTCAGTGCATACACTCTTCAGACTCTCTTGTGCACAGTTTCGTAATTTCCAACGGCTAGAAATCTTAGGAAAGGAAGTTTGACATGTTTTTTTTCCGAAGCAATCTGGGCCTTTCTCAAATAATTGGTGTTGTAATGTTAGTCTTTGGATGTACTATAACGATCAATTTTCAGCTCTTTACATGTGTTAGTTTTCGAGAAATATCAATTTCGGCATAAAAAATCCAAAAACGGCGATACGTATTCGTATTTTTGGCCGGTTATCGTTTTTCTCATTCTAGCTATTGAAAAATTCAATGAAAGTACAATTGGACGTCTGTTGTAAGCGTACTTACGAGAAGAAATCGGAAATTAGTAGAAATTCAATGGAAACTTGATTTTTCGATAATTTGAGACTTTATATGTATGGTTCAATTTAAAATCGTGACGACGAGTTGACTGCGGTCTTTTCGCACACAAAAGGATAGAACACCCATACAAGCAGGCAACACCTCAACGCTGAGCTCTGTCACTTTGAGTGCTTGAATACTATCATATGTAAGCAGAAACACTATTCGAGTAGAGATAGAAACCAAGAATCGGAAGTGCGTACGTGTTGCGCGCGGTCGCGCCATCGTCACGATTTTTCGAATGTCCTAAATGTTTTGGCTTCAAATTGCACATGGAGCAAAGTTTTAGTACGTTTTGAAGCCATCTTGTAGAGATGGCTTGCTGTCAAATGATACCCCTCACCCTGACTTCACATTTGCTCTGCTGCGGTAAGACGTGATGCGACATCATTTTCTGGGCAATCTAATATTCCTAGGATATTTTCCTGGTAACATAATATTTTTGGAACGCTGACACTGCCCAAGCGGCAGGTAGGGTTGTGCATTCGCGGCTGAGATATTCACCTCCAAACCAAATCCCAGACCTGTAAAAGCATGTAAGCATGATGCAAGTTGTCCGTTAATACAATTTTGGTATCCAGTTCGGAGACGAACTTTTCAGCAGTGAATAAATGTTGCGCTGCCGCTTGAGGTGCTTTAATGAGGCCCGCAAAATGCCCAAAATACGTGATATCGCTATGTGCCCAGATTTGCCTGGACGCTGCCTTCAACTCAGCAGCAAGGAAAGTACGTAAAGTTGGCTGTTTGTAGAGTAGAATACGATGTAAACATTTGCTTTGAATTTGCTTCAAATAGACTTCCTTCCCTCGCATTGCTCAACCTGCATTGTAAGGCAGCGTCTAGAGTTGTCACTGCGCCCATTGTGCCAAATCCTCTGCCCGAGGTGTGCCGATCCACACTTGCATAGAGGTAACTCTGAAAGTAGGCTTAGACCAGTCACGTATATGATAGTATTTTGGGCAAGCTTCTATGCGGATTCATTGATTTCGTATTTATATTCCATGCAGCATCGTGTGACCACGGCAACAAAGGGTTTTCGGGGGCTTGTTTGAGGCCAATCCAAATTTCACCGGAATCAGCAAATGTGACTTTTTGTAATGTAATTAGCTAACCCTAGCACCATTTACAGCCCTTGATTTGAAAACTTTCTGTGATTCTTTTTTTAAATGCCACGAGCACCGATACACTCTAGCAGAGGCTCGTAAATTTGAAGACGAAAGGTTATTCGCATGGCATTGATGAATATGTGAATAGCGTCGAACATTGCTGGTGACACAGCAATATCTTTTAGATACAGCTTTTTGTTCAATGTTCTGGTGGACTTGTTCAATCAAAGAACAGTAAGATTCTGATTTTTTTCAGGATTTTTCTTGCGAAACGTTATAATTCTGTTATACAGTTATCGCGTTTTTGCGTCGAAGTATTCTTGACACAAAACACCAACTCAATTACTTGACATGATCGACATGGGTAATGCATGATATAACGATAACTGATATAGAATCCTTTGTAAGCAGTGGTTTCCTTCACCAGCTCGTGGACATACCCATCTTTTTGTAACCGACAACCATGGCAACTCTACGTCACTTTCTTTTTTCTCTTAGAAATGTATAAGTGGAAAAACCAACTGCTTGTGCCAAACCCATCTCTCTAACACAACTCTTTAGAAATCTACTTTGATTGATTGTTCATATATGTTTACATCCGCGCAAAATTCTTTGCATTCATAAAGTTCATTTCAACATAGTTGTGTGAAATTACCTACCGACATCGACACATCTCATTTCAAAAAAGTTTCGGCTACTCATATTACTTGTTCTTCGCTGCAGTAGCTTGACTTGCCTACCACACTTTCTTGTCTTTCTCTTTTGCCCACCTTATTGCTGCTCTATCAAACTTTGCTTTTTTTCACTTTCCTACCTTACCAATCAGCGGTTTATGAATCTCTCTCAACTTGAATGTCTTTAGAAATGTCATTATAAGAAACCAAACGCATTTGTTTTAACTACAGTGAGGCAAAGACAGTTTCGCTCACCTAACTTTCATTTCAATCGACATTCCTCGCTCTCAAAAGCTATTGAAACTTTCTCACTTTTTCACAATAAGTCAATAATACACGCAATAAGCTATGAAATCCAATATGGCGAACACCTGAAGTGGTAATGAAAGGTTTTTGTCACCGTCAAACACTGAGTACCGTTGTTTGAAGAAATTCCACCTATGTAACTAAAAATAATATACTGACAAGCCAATTTGAAATCTTGGCTCTCGGCGTGAGAAATTTGCATGCTTTCCAAAAGTTGAGTGGCTATTCTTCATCTGACATTTCACTATATATTCTCATTCTCTGGCTATATATTCTAATTTTTTGTCTTAGGAGTAACATATGTCATCGTAAGCTACCATCCACTGAGAGACTGCCATCGGAATGTTTTGCCAAAAGTTATTTTATACTTGCTTTCGGAGTTCTTCTCAACTTCTGCTGTTTCAAAAGATGTTTAGAACTGATAGAGATGATGATCATCAAAAAGCAATCTTACAAATCTTGACAAGTTTGTCACTGCGGTCTTCTGATAATTTTCGTTGTATCAGTCTAACAAAGAATGCATGTTTGATCGAAGTGGCCCTTTTAGATGGGGCGTATACCATATCAAAAGGCATAAACTACTAATTCCAAATCTGCCTTCCTTATCTGCAGAGCGCTTATGGACGAGGAGTTATGAGGGAGTATTGGGGCGAAAAATTGAATGTGCAAGTAGAACAAAATTAGCTGTAATAATTTTCCTAGCTCTTTAATAGAGCAATAACCGGGATTGCACTATTTTCATACTTGGACGATAAGGAAGCTACCGCGTTGAAATTCTGAATTGTTGAGTTTTGCCGATCCACTGCCTTTAACCCTTTCGGACCTGACGTTTTGCCCTTAAGAAAAAAAATTTCTTTTTCATTGATTCTTACTCATGGGCACATAAATAACACTTCAGATAAGTTTGGAAAGTTTTCGACCATACAGTAAGAAAATACAAAGTGGTGGCATTTGCCACCAACAGGCCTTAGTGAAACTACTTTTATCACACTTCACTTATTTACAATGGAAAGTTTTGAAGCAATTTCTATGTTTTGTCAGGCAAAGATGAACGTTACATTTCTCACATTGCGTGAACGCCCTCCATATGATTCTAGTTTACATCGTTGTTCGTTTTCATCTTCAGGTATCGGCCAGTGTCCGACGCTGTCATATTTAACTTCACTCAGAGGAATCAATCTGGGCTTCAGGTGTTTTGTTGAAACGGCAGTAGGTGCAGTCATGATATTCGAAAAATTGGACACCGGTCTTCCTTGTTTTGGTTCATTCGCGACGCCAGAGATTCTTCCTTTTCTCATCTTCGTGTTCTTTTTCGTCGCTTTCTTCAATGTCTCCGAACTCCTCGTCAACATCATCTTCGCCAATGATGCCGCCGCAGCTTCTTTCAATGTGATTTGTTGAGATATGCCAGCTAGATTCTTGTCGAAGCTCGTTGGCGGTCCATCTTCTAAATAAAAGACCTTCCATAAATGTTCCACCAAAGTCCACTGGTGGCGATCGCGTACGGCAATTCTGAAGGTTATGGCAAGTAGCCAAAACATGTAGACTCACAAACAACTACCACACATTACTCTACGACCTCATACTAAACAGTTACAATAGTAGTATGAAAACTCAATGTTTTTCAAAAAAAATTTAGACTAATCTGTCTGATTGCGGGCCGAGCGCGATCCATCGTTCCTTCGTGCACAAATGCTTCCGGTGCGCAGTCAAAAAGCAATAGGCCATCTAGAACTCCGAGCGCGATCCATCGTTCCTTCGTGCACAAATGCTTCCGGTGCGCAGTCAAAAAGCAATAGGCCATCTGGAACTACTGTAATCGGGAGTGCCAAGAACATGCTGTAGCGGCGTTGCTGCAGGTCCTTCAAAGTTGGTGGTGGCAATTGCCACCGCCTGGTCCCAAAGGGTTAAGCCAGCAATCGCATACGTACAAGGGTAAACTTAGATTTTCACTGTGAAGGCCTTTCGAGAAAACTTTTAGCGTGTGTGAGACAGATTATCCACCTCTTTATCTACAGGCCTCTAGAAGGGATCTAGAATCTCTCACTGGAACAAACGGTGAAAGAGGGGAGACCCTTCTCAGACGATTACAATCAAACTTTAGAATATACTTGATCGAATTTTCTTGATTTTCTGACCTCTGCGCGCCGAACGCGTATGCTCCACAGAGGCTAAAACCCAGCTGCCCGCCACTCTTCCCTCCTTCATCCCCCCTCCCCTTCCTCATGTTCCACTCCTTCCCAGCCCGTCCGTGGAAAATAAAGAGATTGAAGATGAAAGGTAGGCATTATGAGAACCGAATTTCCAGTGAAAATGAAGCACATGCGCGATGTTCGCTTAGATGATTATCGTTATCGGGACAGGATTGCCCGCCTATAAGACTATCTAAGGGCTATAGGAGAGGTTAGTGAAAGGAGCATGAGACCGTTTTCTGCTGGTACGAATTTCAATATCGCCGAAAATCTGTCTGGAAAAGTCTTGACTAATAATCTCGGCAAATAGCTGGGTTTAGTTTAGTTGGCACTCAGCTGGAACGATTTCAGCTAACCCAATTTCTTTGAAGGTTCCAACTCTTTCCAGCAAAAACAATACCCCTTTGCTTTCTTCCCAAAAATAACATCCAGAATGACCCGACTATAGCTGTGCCAGGCCTTGAAGATATATCAAAGCAAGTCTTTATGCAAAGGATCTTTAGAAGCGCGGGTATTTTGGTGACAACCCATTAACTTTGCATTGCTTCATGGCTAATAATTAATTCAGTTGCGAGTTTCTCCAAAACGCACTTGTATTTGCTCATCCATAGATAGCTTTGAGGACAGCTTCGATTTTCTATAGTTTCATTAATCTGCACGCAATTACCTGCTCTACACTATTATCTGAAAAAGCAAGCACTGAGTAGGTTATACTCAGATCACCAATTCGGTGCATATGTTTCATAGCAAAAAATACGAAATGGCTTTTGATATTGCTCAGAAAAGAACTCACCAAATTTGACATCTGAATTGCATTTCCATATATTTTAAAAAATTTTGATTTGATCAAGACCGAAAACTTGAGTAAAGATTTTCAAGCTACAATTATCTCTGAAAACATCCATCAGCACGAGTATCACATAGAAATGGATCATAAGTTCAGAAGCAAAATTAAAAACTATCTCAGTTGAAGTGTCAGTAGTTTTAGAGACCAAAATTCAAAGAACCCTTTTGGTATTTTTTTGATCAGCTGGTATAGTTGTCATATGCCAGGGAAGAGTTCTGATTCAGGCACTTCTGGAAACCACGAGATTTATTCTCTGTATTACACACTAAACCAAACGATTCCATAAAAGTTGTAGAAAATGACCAATTACGACTTGCATCAACTTAATAGCCTTGAAATACTGGAAACGATTTTATGAACAAATGTGATTGGCGGCAGTTCTTACGTCTATCTCAGGAAAACATGTTAGTCTTCAGGTTCAAAGGGTTATTATACCACATCACACTGTATTATTCTATAGTTATAGTCGAGTCATTTCATATGATCATGTGTGTCATTGCACACACAGTCCACCTTTGGCGTTCTCGTCCTGAATTGCAATCGCAAAAATGCAAGGCACTTACCGATTGTTATCGATTACATCAATTTAAGGTGATTAGTACCTAAAAAGGAAAGAAAATGTTGAGAGCAGACTGAAAACACTAAGGGTTGTTTCTCCTACGCATCCAAGATGGGAACGCCAAAGGTGGATTGTGCGTGCTATGACACTCATGATCATATAAAATGATTCGACTGTATATACTACGACCTATCACAGAGGCGATGTACAGTGTCAAATTTTTGTGACGTCCCTATTTTTTCCTTCGAAGTATGGAGAACCCCTCTTAATGCGGATTTATCCGTAATAATCCGATCTTAGAACGCTTCTGTCGACTTCACTACTTTTAGTTTGATGAGATATCGACCGAGCAATGTTTTGTAAACGTAAGGAGTTTCACACATTCACAGCTACTGTGTAAGTCGGTATCCCACGATTTTGTTAGCACTCTCTATCATCAATGAATTTTGATTTGATATTTTGTTGGAATTCTGCCTTCTCTTGGGTTATAACCACATTTTTTCGTTCCCTTTTGTTTACATCTATCTTTACATGTTTACATCTTAGTGGGATATGAAAGCAATTTCGCGATGGAAGTGCTGAATAGCTTGATGTATAAACCTTTTCTAATTAAATTCAAGTTTGTTTCTTCAAGCCAGAGCTAGACCTAATTATTTTATGAGAGCTTAAACACTGCAAAACACTTCAGAATTATACTATGCCCTCAGCGATTTACGTATTTGGCATACTTCACGCGATTTTAGTCGGATCTGGCAATTCGCCCGAATTCAAATGCAACAGCTGAGACAAAATGCCTAGTGCTATCTCCAGTTTCCAATTTGCACTCAAGATGGATTGCAAACAGTTGGAGTATTGCCAAATCGCGTTGTGACTGAAATCGCTTGAAGTATGTCTGGAGCCATAGTCCGAAATGTCGCGTAAATCGCAACGTCACTAGTTAGCACAGAATTAATTTGCATTTAATTTCTTTTTAACAACCTTTGTATCACACATGTATCTTCAGCTTTGTTAATTCCTCAATTCCACAGAGAAATAATTATTCCAATGATAATGTAATGTTTGCCAAGTGAAGGCCCTTTGACAAACTCATACTCTGGTCTTTTAGTACATTCGAACATAGAATGTTTTCACCTATTTCTTTGCCAAAATACGCACAAGAATTGAATTAAAAACTTCCCACGGCACTGCCAGATCTCGAAACCACCTGTCAAACTAAATATATCCAAGGTAATGCATATCGCTAAAGGAATGAATGTATCAACTTTCATTTCCTCACAAGTATCTTAATATAGTAAGTGGTGGTAATAAAAAACTTAGAATAAGTCCTGTCGCTGGAACCAGTCAGAATGGTTTATATGCGAAATTTTTTCCAAGCTTGCTCTGAAGTTCCATCATTAGTGTCTGAAAGGGGAAAGACGATGTTGAGTACTCTGGATATAAGTTTTGCTGTAGTCTTTCGCTCTAATTTTAAGGCTTCCTTGAGAACTACTACGAGGGGCGCCAGGGAAGCTGCGCTACCGATATAGTTCTTAGCCCCGAAACCGGATAGTGTGAAAAACCCACGAAAATTTTTTTAAAGTTTCTTTCATGTGTCTAATATTTTATTCATCCCTTAACATTTTTTATAAATGAAACTGTGTAGAATGATTATCCTTTGAAGTATTAGAAATTTACGATTGCTGTCAGTCAACTGCGCAGCATCATATAGCCTAAATAATGGTTTTCAATTTTCCTGTTCTTCCGGGAGCTAGCAAGGAGGAAAGGAGAATTTGAAACCGTAACACAGTAATGGGGCATAACCTTTCGTCTCTTTTTCTTGTCGAAAAATATGAGACTTTGCCGAAGTGTCCAGTAGAGAGGTAGAAGAAGAAAATGTAACGAAACTTATGCAACGACCTAACACATTTTATGAACGCTCCTTCTACTCCCTCTCTTTGACTCGTTATATAAAGGCTCTGCAAACACTTGTCGAACAGCTGAAATCGGCAAATTCAGCTGGCGAATTTTTATAGAAGTGCCGTGGCCTTTATGTTCCTTTTCAGCTGATAAGCACTGGAACAGAGCCTAGATACTTTTGTTTCCTAAGCTTGTAAAACTTAGTTTCGCTCAAGCTTATAACTTATTACTACCGAAAGCATACCCTTCTGTTGAATTAGATCAGGTGCTGCTATCAGGGCTCGGTACAGCTGGCATCGGGTCAAGCTAGTATCGTTTTTGGGACAAAAGCAAAGGGAACATCGTTTTTTGGTACAAAAGATCAATATGCGACGATTTTTTCAGACGACGCTTCGTTTTCTTCAAGCATTTTTTACGTATGGGGTTTAAAGTCAAAGGGGACTTCGTACGGAATTTTTGAAGATCAAAAGGGGCTTTGTTCTGATACTTCCCTGTTGCCAGCTCGTGCCTAGCCCTGACTGCTATGGTTTTGCCGTCACCAGCAAGCCCAGCACTTGTTTCATGTCTCTTTGAACAATTCGGTTTCCTATTTTGTCTCGAAAAATAATTGTCGGGTTTTTTTTTGCTGTTGAGTAAGAGAAGGTGGGGGCAGAAATGATATGCAATCTAACAAGGTCAAAACGACATTTCATTTCCAAATGCGACATATTTCTGATGGT